CTGATTTTATGAGCGAATACCTCAAAAACGGTCATATGTCTTTAATCCCAAAAACCGAATCTAGGCCAAATCTATGCTGCTATTTACCGCATCATGGAGTGCTTCGTCTGGATAAATCAACCACAAAACTCCGGGTGGTTTTTAACCCCTCCGTTAAAGGATCAAACGGCACAAGCCTAAACGAAACCCTTTTAACGGGACCTAAATTGCAAAATGATATTTGCGAAATTCTACTCAAATTTAGATTCTATTCTGTCGTGCTTCTAGCTGATATCAAGCAACATTTTTTGCAAATCCAACTAAACCCAATTCATAGAGATTACCAAAGACTACTTTGGCGCTTTCATCCCAGCGAACCCTTACAGGAATACCGGTTGAATACTGTTACGTTTGGTATAAGTTCAAGTCCTTATTTAGCAATTAGAACCCTTAGAGAAATCGCCAATCGTGAAAGTCAAACATTTCCTGAAGCTTCCCAAGTATTGCTTAACAACATTTTCATGGACGATATTTGCTGCGGATCTAGCTCCCTAGAGGGCGCTTTATCGCTTCAGAGAGATCTAATCACCTTGCTCAAATTAGGAAAATTTGAACTCCGTAAATGGGCATCAAATAACCCTAAACTCATCTCTCATTTGTCCCCATCGGATTGCCAAATCCCAATAACTTTCGAGAATGATAACTCCGCCTCTATCAAGGTTCTGGGCCTTCAATGGCACCCTTCAACCGACACATTCACCTACTCATGCACCCCATCCGAAAAAACTTGCACTAAAAGAAGCATTCTATCCGCTATTGCAAAAATTTGGGATCCTCTCGGCTTCTTATCTCCGGTCTCATTTTTCGCGAAAGTTATAATGCAGAAGCTTTGGTTATGCAATATTGACTGGGATGAAACACCCCCTGAATCGATCACTACCCTTTGGAAGCAATTTAGTAATCAATTAAATAATCTTTCGAGTATCTGTCTACCTAGACACATTTTTCCAAATAAAATTCAACGTTGTCAATTGTTAGGTTTCTGTGACGCATCAGAACTAGGATATGCCTGTTGCGTGTACATTCGTGTTGAGCTACCTAACAATATTATCAAATCATCACTAGTCGTTGGGAAATCACGAGTTGCTCCCCTTCATACTAAATCCATTCCTCGTTTGGAGCTTCTTGGAGCCACCCTGCTAGCTGATTTGCTCGAATTAGTTATCCGAACTTATTCTTCGCTGATCCTAATCGATGAAATTCTTGCATTTTCGGACTCACGTGTTGCGCTGCATTGGGTTACCTCATCTCCTCACAAGTGGAAAACTTTTGTAGCGAACCGCGTCAGTCACATTCAAGAAACCATTCAAGTTCCTTGGTACCATATTCCTTCACTCGAAAACCCGGCTGATTGTGCCAGCAGAGGTCTAACCCCAAACAGTCTAATAAATCATCCTCTATGGTTCCATGGTCCGCCTTGGGTAATCCTGCCAACTTCCGAGTGGAAAATAAAGAAATTCGTAGAGGAATTTTCCGAGGAAGCACCTGATGAAGTCATAAAAGAGGAAAAGCCACTTAACAATACCGTATTAATGGTAGAATCGCATACTCCAAACTTTTTCGACAATCTAATAAATAAGTTTTCTAACCTAACCCTAATTCAAAAAATTATTTGCCATTTTCTAAGACTTATTCATAATCGAAAAAACCTGAAAAATCCAATCTTGGGACCCTTTGCAGCTTTCGAATTGCACAAAGCCTTGCTTGTTTTAGTCAAAAAGGTCCAAGAAGAGTGTTTTCCAGACATAATTTCGAAAATACAAAATAATGAATTATTACCTAAGCCGTACCGCAAGCTCGCACCGTTTTTAGATGAGTCGGGTTTAGTCAGAGTGGGCGGTAGATTAAGGCATTCTCAGCTCTCTTTTGAGGCAAAACATCCCTTATTATTACCCAAAATTCATCATCTTACCAATTTAATCATAACTCAAACTCATATCGAAAATCTGCACCCTGGGCTTAATACAGTGCAGTATCTTATTCGCCAAAAATTTTGGATCATATCTGCGCGTAAAGCAATTCAAAAGGTCTTATCCCAATGCATTTGATGCGCTCGTTTAAAACCTAAATCATACACACCCTATATGGCAGATCTACCCGATTTCAGAACTTCCCAGCTGAAATGTTTCTCCCACGTTTGTCTGGACTATGCTGGTCCAATAAAATCCTTTGTAGGTCAAAGGCGTCGTGGAGCGCAAGTCACGAAATCATATATTGCGGTGTTTGTCGACACTTGTGTCAAAGCTATCCACATCGAGTTAGTTTCAAGCTTGACTACGGAAGCTTGCATTGCAGCGTTACGACGCTTTGTAGCTAGACGTGGCACTTGCGTTCAAATCGTAAGTGATCAAGGAACCAATTTTGTCGGAGCTTTTAAAGAACTCCAAAACCTGTCAAGATTAGCTGCGGAAACTCTGAACATAAAGTGGTACCTGAATAGTCCTGGGGCTCCCCACCTAAATGGCTTAGCGGAAGCGGGAGTCAAATCTGTCAAAACTCATTTATATCGCGTAATTGGCAACCAAATCTTAACTTTCGAAGAACTCTATACCCTTCTCTCACAAATAGAGGCTCTTCTCAACTCAAGACCTCTCTGGGAACAGAGTTCAGACCCAAATGACCTGTCACCACTGACACCTGGTCATTTTCTGACCACAGAACCATTAAATTCTTGTCCAGATCCGGACCTTTCTTCCCTAAAACTAAACACTTTAAATCGTTGGCAACTTGTTCAACGCCTTCATTCAGATTTTTGGAAGCGTTGGAAAATCGAGTACCTTAACACCTTGCAACAACGTTGCAAGTGGTCCGATCCTTCCGTCGAAATTAAGCTTGGCGCTTTGGTGTTAATCAAGGATGAATCCAGACCACCATTGCACTGGTCACTGGGAAGAATAGTAACCGTGCATCCTGGTCCGGATGGTCACGTTAGAATTGCTACAGTAAAAACACAGCACGGGCTCCTTACTCGTCCAGTGGTAAAGTTGTGCCCTTTGTTATTAGATTCGCGTTAAACTCAGATAAGCAATCTCTGTGTGTTGTGTTTTGTTTTTGTAGTTTTATTCTATTTTATTCTATTTTATTATTAGTATTATATATATTTTTTTTCTCTCATTTATTCAACGTAAAACTCCGTTTTAAGTGGGCGGTTAATGTTCATGCAACTTTGTTATTTTATATATTTATTCAAAAATACGAAAGAAAAAACCGTTAAAAGCCATACAAGTTCAAATCAAAATTGGCACCGCTCGCGCAGACTCGGCGTAGGTGAAAAATATGTGATTTATGAGAAGGAAGTACAGTACGAAGCCGTGTCTCTAAAACCACGTCCGCTTTTTCGGTCGTTATCAAAATCAAAAAACCTATCGAATTCAAGGCAAAAATTCCTTATTTTTATTTCTAAGATTGTGTTGTATCGGTGTGTCGCTGAGAAGCAGACTTTCTGGACACGAGGAGCTCCTCTGGATCGACGAAAACCAGCATAAACCAAGTAAGTGCCAATCGTCCATTGTCTTTGTATGGCTCGGGTTTATGTCCATTAATATTTGTGCGGCAAAATTGAATTTAGCGCTACAGTCCCGCTGCTCTTTAAACTTTCGAAAACCTAACGCAAATTTTCGTGAACACTTCTGTTATTGTTTTTTTTTTAATAATAATAATGACTTAAGACATCTGGATTTATTATAATATTTCACCCTGTAAATTATTGAATAACATTTGAACAATAAACTGTTTATAAAGAATTCCCTCTAAAGCTTTAATGGTATAATTGTTATTTCCTCAACATGAGAACTTGAAAGTGGTTTTCATGTTTTTCTACATGGTGTTCCATTTGAAAGAATATAAATTCGTACTGCTACACTTTTTTGACGCACCCTGTATGCTTAAAACTGACTCAGTTAAAAACTTTTGACAATTTTTTAAAACTTTTGTATCTGACACTTTTGTCAAAAACGTCAAATGAAAAATTAAAAGGGGGTGACATTTATAATAGATCACCCTGTACCTGTATAGTGCAAGTAATAATACTGAGCTCATCAAGAACAGTGGTTCTTTTAGTTTATATATGACTTTTCTAACTCACTCAATCGGATATTTAAGGTGTCTCATGGTAATTGGTATATCAGATTGAATACAAAATATTCATATATTATATCACAAGAGCTTTGAATTTAATCGATTAAACTATCCAACATATTTTGAGCATGATTTTGCTTGGAAAATAGTTGAATGCACAATAACTTGATAAAAGCCCGAGACCACGAAGCGGTCGAGGGCTTTTATTTAAAAGTTATTGTGCATCAAACTATTTGCCAAAAAGCAAAATTATGCAAAAAATATTTGGATAGTTTAATCCATTTAAATTTATAGGTCGAGTGGTATACGGCTAGATTATTTCCTGAATAATTAGGATTGAATTGTTGGCGTCAATCTTATCCAAAGAGTTCTATTTATTATAAAATGTCAGAATATTTCTATCAAAATTCTGTCAAAAAAAGGTAAACAAAAATTTAATCGCTGATAAACAAGGTCTTGTGAAATAATCACTTATTTAAACAAAATTTATTCAAAAAATGACGTTGTCTGATTGGTCTATTTTATAATGAATGAAATAATCTATAATAATCTGCTGCATCATCAGCTAATCATCTCTCTTTATATCATCTCAATGAGAAGATTTATTATTGTTTCTAGCTTACTGCCAGGAGCATATAGCAATGAACATTAAAAATATACGTCTTCTTTAATGATTTCCCTAAACAAACCAAAAAATCGGTGTTGTTTGACTAATAATTTAGAACCCGTACCTATTGTGCGATAATATAGAAGTGATGAAAAATTAATGTTTGCTTTTTTTCCAAACGGTACTCATTTAAAGTCAAATATTTGTCGACACTTAAATATCTTTTCTAGCTGGCACCATTTGGTACCTACCTAACTATGAAAATTATAAATTTCAGATTCCTAAATCCTATCACGAAGACACCAATAACAATTTTCAATCGACTCGCAATAAAGAAGCTGCAAAACACCCTAAAAGTCTAGACACCATTATTCGCCATCTTTACCTGAATAAACCTGAAATGCAGAAGCGTGAAAATACTAAAGTGGATTTGCCGAAATTTACGAATTTTCCTTTTTCCAGGCACTTAACTAATTTGTTACCCTATAGTGAAACTAGTGAAAAAACTGAATCCTTACCTCATCCGCATCCAGCAAGAAATCTAACCACTTCTTCGGACACCATCGTTGCAGAAACTACAGTATCTTCACCGGCCTTGATTTCACCTTCTGAAAAAGAGCATAATGAGAATTTAAGCATTCACGATGATAACTCAATTGATAAGTCAATAAATAGTGATTCCAGTCACGATGATAAAAACCTGGAAGAAAGTGAAAATGTGAAAAAAAAGGCTTTTAGTTGTGATGAGTGTGGGAAAAGCTTTAGCCAGTTAAGAAATTATAAATATCACAGGTACAGTTATTAGGTTTCTACCTACGAGCCTAGTTATACTGAATAAAAGGCCTCTGCAATTTTCGCCATTTTAACTTTCCATAAATAGATATAAAAATAAATTTCTTTCATAATTTAATTGATCAAATTAATTTTTCAAGAGTACTTGATTTGTTGTCAAGAATCCTTGAGATTATCTCAGTGCTTCTTGTCTTAAATTATAAGGCTATCTTATCTTGAAATCCAAGACAAGATCTTGAAGTGTTCAAGAAACTGGCGACTCCTAGCAAAAAAAATGACTTTTAGTTTGCCGGCGTGGAAAATCTTTCCCAAGAAGCTTTCAGCAAAGTGTACACCATTATTACTTATTGACCTCGTAAAATAATTTTGATCAGAGTGAAGAGAATGACTAATAATGCTTCCAAATATTGAATTTTTTCAGAAACAATTTACTGCTTTCTAAAAAATGTCAGAATCACTTGTTCAAAAGCGCTTCCACATTATTTGATGTAACTTTAAGAAATTTGAGGAAAAATTCAAATTTTCAGGTGTAAGATATTCAACAGTAGCGGGTAAACTTTAAAGTTTCTGGTCTTATAAATGCAAAAAGATCCATTTTATATAACTAGGCTCCAAGATTTTTCTTTATGTAATGTAACTGCAGTATAGTACCTACTCATTCTTTCGATTTTTTATAAAGATATTCCTAAATATGAATTTCAGATCTGTCCATGAAGGTACCAAAGAATTCTCTGCAAAATGTCCAGAATGCGGAAAAACTTTCAACGACAGAGGATATCTGAGTAGTCACATGAAAATACACAGGGACAAAAAAGAGTACGCTTGCCCTGACTGTCCTAAAAGATTCAACCAAAGAGTGGCCTATAATATGCATCTGCGAATACATACAGGTTAGCATCAATTTTCTTTTCCGTATAGCCATAAGAGATGATTTGTTTCAGCTAAATGGAGTGTAATTAACTGCAAATTAATAGATCATTATTGTTCGAATGTCGCGTCCCAATTTCCAATAGCTCAACAAATCAAGAAACTATTAGAAAGGAGTTGTCGAGTAAAGAAATATGGCAAATATCTTTATAATTTTTTCCTGCGCTTATGCGTTATTTTAAACACTTGCTGATTTATACGGTTTTTATAAGCCAGTTAGCGGGTACGTTCGCTAATAAATATGGACTCAGGGGGCCTTTAATGAAGTGCTAATTGCTTTTGCAACTTTCTTCAAAGGAATCGGTTTTGAATTGTTTAGTCAGAAACCCTTTTGTACTGTGGTGTGGCTCTATTATACTACCGGCTTTTTTCTTCGACTCAATAGATCTTATAAAATGAAATGTGTGGTAACAAAATAATTAGGTCTTATAGGTACCTACCTAGAGCCTAGGTAAAATAGTAAATCGAAGTTACGTCATATTTTCCGCCATTTTTAAAACCCCAAAAAAAAAATGGCTCAAATATGCCTTCGCCTTCTGGTCGATAGATATGAGTGTAAAAATGCAAAAGTTGCTAAATTCGATCATTTTGCTGCATTTTTCTGGCTCCCCATATGGCGCAAACGGCAATGCCCTACTTAGTTTTTTTTTTTTAGAAATAACTTCCCTTTGCAAAAACCCTAGTTTTTTTTTCTAGCATCTGTAGCTGTTCTTAAGATATAAGTCAATGTGTTTATGTCAAACATTAGTTCACCTATTTGAGAACCAGCTCTCAACCAGATTGTAGGTATGTAGACACTGTAGTGAACCAAATAAGCGAGTTGGATCCAGAACGAAACTGGGGTACCTGCCAGTTTGCAATGATTTGGATAAATCACCACCTTTTTGTTCATTCAGCAAATTATTTGAAAGTAAAAGATGCAACAAGTACTGCAGCTTTCCACAAAATCGGTCGAGGCTAGACAATAATTCAGAAATACTGATGAAGCATTATTTTGAGACGCCTATACATAGAAAAGTATAGTTTTATTAAATGAATGCGTTTCGTTTGACGTAGATTCTCATAATAAATAAGAAAATTTAAATTTTATATGTTGGAGTTTTATGAGTTTTCCGAACTAAGTAGCCCATCAACCATTACAAAAATTTATTAGGTATATTTTTATTGGTCTTTTTTGTCCTGACATAAGTTTATTGGTTTGCTTTTGTGGTGCCTATTTTAAAATAGAAAATCTACAGCCTTTTTCGGAAGATACCCACTTAAAACTTTTACATCCCGCTATTTGAAAATTATACTTAGGTATACTAGTAAATACCTTATACGGTTGTAAATAATATAGATTAAGGTAAACATTTTAACACCAGTATGTTAAAAATTTACAGCAGTGTTTCGTAATACATAATTAAATTAGGTACTGTGTTTCCTTTTCGTTAGGAGCACAAAACCTCATTCATTATAAATTTTAACAGAAAAAAAGGGTCGAAAACAGGGTGAGCATTGTTTAAGTTTAAGCACTAAGGGAACTATCAAGTTTTGTCTTGAATACCGACACCGAAGAAGCACAAACTGCTGTTAAAGCTGGGACGCTGGGAGTTTATTCCAGAGGGCAATGACTCTGTTTAGTAGAAAGTTTTCCATACTCGCTAACTCACTATGGAGTAGTTTTCTTTTTTAAGTTTGCGACTGTGATTCCGGAGTCTCTGGTCTCTGTTTAAGGCATAGAGGTGTCTGTTTGAATGATTCAGATTTAGCAGAAGCCTCTGGTATGGGACTCTGTCGAATGCTTTAGCAAAATTCAAGTAGTAGTTAAGTAAGCAGGGGTTTCTTCCAGGAAAAAAAAGGTAGAAGTTTTTTCCTTACCGGTTCTATATGTTTTTTTGGGGCTCTGAATCCGAATCTGAGGTTTGCCAACTCGCCTGAGGTCGGCTTCACACGAAAAATTGCATAAAACCCAAAATTTTCGGCACTTTTTTCAGGTTTTCAACTATAACTCGATAAGCGTTTTTTGACTATAACTATAGGTACCTACCAAATTAAAGTAGACAAAATTCATAAGGTCGTAAGATCGTATTGAAAAAATGGCGTTGACTTGACTTTCCTCTAAAAAAGTTGAAAACGTTATTCTTACTAAGGTTTTGATAAAAGGAAACATATTTGTAACAAATTGGTATTTACAAAAAAAAAAAAGCAAAAGCACCGTTTATATTCATTATGGACGAAGTTTGTCAATACCTACATAAGGCTCAGGATTGCGTTCGCCGATGTTCAGTTAAGATGGACCAGTTTGTATATGCGGAGCGAAGTTTTTTTTTTCTTCTAATTCTGTGTGTGCAGTGAACTGCTCTAATTCTTGAAGGATGAGCACTGGGCCCCCTACTGGAAAATAGTACTTTTCCTAATCAGTGCGTAAAGTTATGTTTTCCATGCGAAAGCAGTAAGGGACAGTGGCGTATCAACCCAGCTCCGGGCCTGTGTGCCAAAATGTCCTCGGGCCCATTACAGGTCCTCCGAATTTTTTTTTTCTAACCCAAACTAACCCAAAAGTCGTTCAAAAATACGCCTTTTCAGGCATTTTTGTTTAAACGTCAAATTGTGAATTCACCATTTTCGAAAGTGGTATGAATAACTATGTATAGTATTTTTATTCCGACTTGGAACACTTAAAAAACATTTAGTCGGCATACACCAAAAAAATAAAGGACATGGGCGTCACATAATTTTTATTTCTTCAAATGGTGATAATCAATATCAAACAACACAACTAAATAATACGTGGAATAAAATAGCAAATAATATACATATAAATTGGGATGACACTGGTTATGTTATAGAAATCGCGTAGTCTAGTCAACAGGTGCACCTACATCGTTCCTGGGAAGACGTAAGTAGCCCACCCCAATAATTAAAACCATAGGCGCGTGCCGACTTAAATTATTAATTTGGGCCACTGTAGAGATATTTCGATTTCGTCGCTGCTTATATTTTGTTCATACAGATAAACTTACAATAGATTTTCCATGAAATTAATAGAAGAAGAGGGACGGTGATGTTGAAACATCCTCGTATAGGCAGTGTTTCAAGTCAGAATAAAAATACTATACCGCTGCCGGTATTTTTTTGCGCGTAGATAGACTATTGTCCATATATTTATCATTACTATACCAGCAAAAAAAATAAAAACACAATTAATAATTTTAGGTTTATTATCTTTTAAAACATTTTTTTGCAATTTCGATGTGGAGCTCACGGGCCCCTTTCGGGGCCGGGCCTGTGTGCTCCGCATACACGTGGCACACCGGTAGATACGCCACTGGTAAGGGATAAGCTTTTAATCAATACAGCTCGTGCTCTTCTATCGGCACACCAATTTAGAGCCCGATTGGAATTTTGACCCGACGTTTCCAAATTTTAGAAAAAAAAATCCCCCGAACTGTTGGGGGCAAAGGGGTTCTACCCGCCCCTAATGTCTTCCTTAAGGTCGAATAGGGTTTTCATTTAAACGTTAAACGTCGCGAAGAAGGTCCGTTTTCCAGATAATACGTTTTTATGTTTTCCACCCCTTTAAAATGTTTAATCGCCAATCGCGAGATCTTCTTTCTTTCTATCCCCCTACAAAATGTTAACGTCCCACCTCCAGTTGTTTGGGCTGTGGAAGGGCCGAAAGTCAGAGATCTCCCACAGGACGCCTCGGGGGAGGGGAGAGTCGAAAATTGTTTTCGCTCGACACAATTAAAAGTTTTAGCACCCCTGAAAATTTAAACCTTCTAGCTAGCCGGAAAGTACGAAAAAAATCAGTGTGCGGGGATTTTTTTTTTTGATCTGTGAAGGTATAGTCCTAATTTACATATGGATAAATACTAGAATAGAATAATAATTAATTACCTGTAATAGTATAAATTACCTATGATCTTCTTAGGCGAAACGTCTTGATCTTGATCGTCATCACTGAGCAGTATTTCTATATTGGAGCATCTTTGTTCATGAGCGTATGCAGGTATTGACAAATTTTGCCCATAATGAACAGAACATGAACGACATTGATTTTAATATGGTTATCCAAAGTCTTCATTCTCATTGTTTCAGGTGATAATTCTGCAGATGTGGACGCGAATGAATATGAAAATCATTAAATAAATACCTAATGGTGTTTTTTTTTTTTGTATAAATGCCAATTTATTCTAAATATGTTTCCTTTTATAAAAACCTAAGTTGGAATAACGTTTTCAAATTTTTTAAAAGAAAATCAAGAAATACCGTTTTTTCAACACGATCTAACGCAGTGTTGCCAGATGAAATTAAAAAAATTCGTGAGAATCGAGAAAGAAAAATCGTGAGAAATCGTGAGACTAAAAATTGCTTAAATAATATGAAAATGAAGCACAACAATGTTCTCTTATAGGTTTTTGATAAAGTAAAAAGTAAACATGATTTTACATCCATAAGAAATAAACATTTTATTATTCTTCTTATACCCTAGTTATTTCCGTTTTTTAGCAGGTGTTTCTGAAAGCTGAACCTCGTTTTGATTATCAGCAGGATTGCTTATCCTAACAAATGTTCGCCGATTTTCGACAGCCAAGTCGGCAGCTGGTCTGCGAGTGACGTCACTATTATCAGCAGCTGATAGTGTTGACGTCACCCGCAGACCTTGATGGTTTGCGAGTTAATTTTTTTGTCCATTTTAAATTCAGAAAAGGTGATTTCAACGTTTATGAATTCGTTTTTTGGACTCGGATAATGCCTTGCATTTTTTGCCAAGAGTTGAGGTCTGCAGCTGACGTCACAAATAGTGGGGTCTCGTGGACTTGGCACTTGGCAGGCAGACACTTTCAACTCAATTAAGTAGTCCTATTAGGTTAAGTGTTCTTGGGCGCGTATGTACCTGGAGCGGCGGAACATAACTAAACAGTGGCGTAGCTAGGCGTCGGCGACTGCCGACGGCCTCGCGCCCTAAAGAGCCTCG